AGACAATAAAGAGTACAGCTAAATATTTCAGTCAGTGTTCTGTGGAGCTTGGCACATATTGCGCGTTGCTGTTGACAATAGTGGGTTTAAGTTCATCTTTTCTGTGCGGCCTTACGAAGACGCCGCTTGGCATATTTGCCAAATTCATTCGAGAAAGAAGAAATGCTGATTGTATCGATGTCGATTACTGTCCCAGGAGGGATGCATCCAATCAGTCAGTTGCATAAATGGCTCTTTGACCACATTTGCGGCCGACAACAATGGGATGTAAAAAAACTATCCTACATGTCGAGATTCACCGATTGTTGTGAATAACACGAAGGAAGCAAAGAACAGGTTTCCAAATCAAGTGGCATCAAGTAAAAGGTAAACGCGATGAGGTAAAGAGAGACATTTAAGATTGGGAAAATGGTGCATACCGCGGCAAGGCAGACAATTCCCTTAATTTGAACAAAGCAGTTAACATGGATAAAGCCGCAGAAATTGAAACTCTTTACGAAATTTTAGTACTCGCTGCTGTATTTCAGTCCCCCGTAATATGAGATGTCATCCGCATGCATGTCCTCAGTTCTGCAACTAATGTGTCGAGGTAGACCTTGAAGGCAGTAAGCAAACTGAGGTCCCTCAGGCGAAAGCATCTCCTGCTTAGGCGCCTTGAGCAGCGCCTACAGTCGGGCAAACGTGCCCGTTGGAATCAACCAGGATAACCGACAACTACGACGGAGAGCTACAATAAGCTATCGCAAAATCGCATAACATGCATTTTCTGCTTCCTATTCGTTTCGCTATTTCACTGAGATCGTTCACAGTAAAATTGAGCAACGAATAAAGAAATGTTTAGGTATTACCGACAAAGAGAAGGGAGACTGGAATGGCCATTTCTGGCTTATTAACCTTCGCCAGTCAGTCATACCCAAGCCCGAAGTGTGGAACACCCGAGCCTCGAACTCGCGACCTGTTGGTTTAGAAGTCCACGCCTCTACCCACGGGGCCACGAGCCCATTGCCCTGTCGGTTTTCGATCGGGAATATACAATGGTAGGGGGCGCTCACCGATCGTTTTTACGGAACTCACTCGTTCCGTTGTGCCTTAAGGGCTCTCTCTCGAGCCCATCCAGCAGCCGCACAGCAACGCATGATATATAGGCAGATGCCACCAGAAGGAGTAACGCGCACAAATTTGACAAAATTTGAAAAGCTTGTCTTATGGTACGAGTTAGTAGACTAAAAAGGCCCACTCCGTCATGGTCATTGCAGCACTGCAGTTACGGCTGGAAAATAACAGGACTGGTATTACCGACAAAGACAAGGGAGACTGGAATGGCCATTTCTGGCTAATTAGTCGTCATCAGTCAGTCATACCCAAGCACGAAGTGAGGCACACCCAAGGCTCGAACTCGCGACCTGTTGGTTTAGAAGTCCACGCCTTTACCCGAGGCTCGGGTGTTCCACACTTCGGGCTTGGGTATGGCTGGCTGACGACGGCTAATAGGCCAGAAATGGCCATTCCAGTCTCCCCTTGTCTTTGTCGGTAATAACATTCTGCCTATATATCATGCGCCGCTGTGCGGCTGCTGGTTGGGCTTGAGAGAGCCCTTAAGACACAACGAAACGAGTGAGTTCCGTATGAACGATCTGTGAGCGCCCCCTACCAAAGAAATGTTTCTCGTCCGTGTTCGCCTCCCTCCCTGACCTAATGAACGTTCTTGCGCATCATGCGAAAAAGGCCATTGACATCTCCGTCAGCTTTTGTCGCAGGGTGGCCATGCTGATATCAAAATATTCTTTAAACGTGTCAGACGGACCAGGCACCATTGCCAAATATCGTCAATGATGAGCAGTGTTTTTCAACTGCAGTCTGAAATCAGACGTTGCAGTCATTTTTGGAGACGGGACAAGGTATTCTACGCTTGCAACTAGGGACTTTCGTTCTAGTGCATGTAGTGGCACAGATTTTTTGTCCGTCATTTTAAGGCTGAAAAAGCTGATATCGTCGTGGAAATGATGTGTAGTTTAAAACGCTGTCCTTGCAGTGACATAAAAAAACATTTTGTTTTAGTGCGCCAAAGATACGACCTGTAAAAACTTTGGTATAACTTTCAATAGCAAGTTATCGTCACGATGGATTCCTGCACCACTTTGATTTTTTCTAAGTTTACTCGCGATAGACCGATTTATTTCTTACATTGCTGACCCTGTATCGTTCATAGCGCTTTCTTTATCATTTCTACGCATAACTATTCCCATTTGGATTCATCTTCACTGTACCTTTCGCTGAACATTTTATTTTAGCCAGACCTCATTTGATATTCACGCTGCCTCGCATTTTCAGCCAATACGGTTGCTACCCTTCACTCTCAGTGTCAGCGCGCCAGTCACTACATCAATTATCTGATCGCTGACTGACATCGGCTAATTATGTTCAACGATTCTACAAGCAAGCCGATAGCCGGCATTGACACCTTTGACCCCCCGGCCATGTGGCTTGGTAATATTGCATTTTGGCTGCACGTTGTAGAATTCCGTTCCACTCTCGGCCCAGATTACAAGACAGGATACGATATTTCAGTACGTTGTGGCAGTACGCCCAATGGATATCACTAGGGACCTTCGCGACGTCATAGCTTGATCTCCCACAGAAGCCTCATATGGTACTCTAAAGAAAGTTCTCATCTCACACATTGCCTTGTCAACTCAAAAACGCCTGCAGCGTTTGATTTCTGACGAGGACCTTGGTGACAGGAAGCCTACGCAGCTTCTTAGGCGTTCGAAGCAGCTGGCAGAAGAACAAAATCTGGATGCCACAGTTTCCAGGAGACTTTTCTTCCAACGGTTGTCCTCTTCTGTGCAAGCTATCCTTGCGTCGAACATTCCGTCATCGACTGTTCATATACTCGCAGTAACTGCTGGTGGCATCCTCCTGTTACGGCAAATGTTGTTCGTCGTATCGCAGCTGCACCAAGTGCGCCCACAATCGAGAATGTCATAAAACGCCTAGACGACTTCACCTTTGAATTTTCCCAGCTTCATGCTTCAATGTCTCTCGACGAAGATGTCCGTCCATTTTTCGCTGTCAGAGATTTCCCACTGTGATATCAGTCCCGTCGACTTCGGACGATTTCTGCTGGTGACACCACACCTATGGCTAAATGCCCATCGTTGCCAACCACCATGTCGTTACGAGGAATTTTCGACGAACTTGGTCGGTTCAACCTCCCTAAGTCGTCTGCTTCGCATTTTCAAAAGGCTTTCCTGCCGTAATTTCCTCGTAGAGACTGGTGTTGACATCAGTCTACTTCCACTCTCTCTGACTCATCGTAGGTTATCCAACTCTTCAATGTTTCTTCAGGCAGTTGGTGGTACCTCCTCCCTAACTTTTGGTCTTGGGTTACTACGTTTTTCCGCTGGATATTCATCATTGCTGATATTAACACCACCATCCTTGGGGTTGACTTTATATCCTTTGCCGGTCACCGCGTTAATATCATGTCCAATAAACTAATCGACTCGATGACATCTTGGTATTCTAATTGTTCGACTCGTACCATTTCTTCCACTTGCCCATGCATTTTAACAATTTCTTCGTCCACTTCCTATTATAGTTCGCTTTCGGTATAACCATATATCATCCGGCCATTCACGCTGTGAGCAGCCTATTCAACATTCCTCCATGCATTATATTTCGACTACGGGACCACCCGTTTTTCGCCGTACTCGTCGTTTAGCGGCTGAAAAGTTATCTATCGCCAAGGCTGAATTCAGCCATATGATGACACCTGGCATAGTTCGGTCCTCCACTAGTCCATGGTTGGCAAAATATCTCTCAAGGACTGACATACATGTGGTGATTTCCGTCGACTAAACTACTGCACCGTCCCTGACAGATATCTACTTCCTCGGCTCCATGACTTTTCCTCTAGCCTAGCTGGGACAAAAATATTTTTCAGCATTGATATAGTAAAAGCATCCCACCAAACCCCTGTAGATAGAGAGCACATTCCAAAAGTGGCGACCTCGACTCCATTCGGTCTTTTTGAGTTCGTCAGCATGCCTTTTAGACTCCGTAACTCCGCGAGCAACCTTTCGTTTTTGTTTATGTTGAAGGTCTTCTAGTTGTAGTTTCTAATGGACATCAGCACCTACAAAACCTACGCCTCATTTTTGCTCGGTTTAGCTAATTTGGCATTTTCACAAACTCCTCCAAATGCGTTTTCAACGTTTTCTCGCTCTTGTTCTTAGGACAACGCTTAGGTGCTTTCTGTGGTCATCTCATGGACGCCAAAAGTCCAGCTCTCCGCGGGTAACCTACTGATGTTTCACCCCTCACTGCGCAAAAATAATGTTACTTCCTCCAAATCTGTTAGGAGGCAACAACCGCGAATTTTCTTCTCCTGACACAGCCACGGGTGCCTTCCAGCGTGTTAAAGAGATCCTCGCGAGTACAACTGATTTGCCTCAAGCGCTAACTGATGCCCTGGTGTCCACTGTTGCTGACGCCTCCAATCGCACCGTAAGTGTAGCCCTCCGACAAAAAAACCACAAAGGGCACCCAAGCCCTATGCTTCTACCCTGCTAAATGGACACCCCCAAAGTTCTTATAGTACTCCTTGCCATTTGTCTTGCTATTAAGAATTTTCGTAACTATTTTAAAGACAGAGATTTTTGTGTTTAAACTGACCAAAAACCCCCTACTCCCTCTGACAAGTATTCACCCCGTGAGGCCCGAAATCTTGATCTTATCTCTCAATATACCCAGGATATTTGATTTCTTAAAGGACCCTCTATTCAGGTCGCTGACTGCCTATCCCGACCTGGAATTAATATTATTATCCGCCCTTCCATCGACCTAGAGTGCATGGCTGAGCTGCGGCAGCAGCAGCCGAATTTTTCTGAAGAACTACAGTATACAAACCTTCAGATTTAAGCTACCCCTCTGTTCGCCACCTCCACTGCAATCTTGTGTGATGTGTCGTGCGGTTCCACTCGACTTACAGAAGTAAGTGCGATGCGACGAGATGTTTTCACCGCGTTACGCAATCTCGCCCACCCTGACATCCGGGCTACTCAGCGTCTCGTCAGCGACCGTCTCGTTTGACCCAGCGTAAACAATGCTATCCACCAGTGGACTCGCCAATGTTTGGCCTGTCGAAAAGCCGAAATCGGTCGTCATAGCAAAGCCTTACTTAGAACCTTTCTTGCACCGGATGCACGTTTTGCGCATGCGTACGTAAATCTCGCAGGTCCTTTGACAAAATCCCGTTTTTGCAGCTATTTTCCCTCTGCTACTGACCAATTCACGTGATGGCCCATCACAACTCCGAGTTCAAACATCGCTGCAGATACTGCCGCTCATGCCTTTTTGGAACACCGGATTTGTCATTATGGTGTCTCCACAACTATTATCACTGAACGAGGCCATCAGTTTGAATCTGGCCTTTTAAAGGCCCTCACAGACCTCCTCAGGTGCTCTTGTAAACGTACGGCAGCTTACCACCCCCATTCAACAGTCTAGTTGAGCGTTTCCACCGTCAACTAAAAACCTCGCTCCGAGCTCATGATAACCTCGCTCATTGGAATGAGTATCTCCCTTTGGTCATGCTAGGTATCCGTACCTCGCTAAAACCTGACCTGAAGTGCTCGCTTGCCGAACTTGCTTACGGGACTACCATACGGACTCCCGACGACTTTTTCGGGCCATCCGAAAGTTTAGCCGATCTGCATTGTGCTGATTGTGTCCAATGGCTGCGCCAAGCAATGGTTAATCTCTGGGCCATATCTACACGCGTGGCAGCAAGTAGGTCGTATATTGACCCTAACTTTCTACCATGCTTCTTTGTATTTGTCCGCGTGGGTAGTGTTCGTAAGCCACTACAACGGTCCTACGGCGGTTCATTTCGAGTCCCGTAGCGCAGGGAAAAGCATTTAAAAATCGGCCGTGACACCACACCGAAGTGTTATCGACCGATTGGTTGAAAGTGGCCTATACCGACCCTGCTTCGCTCACCCCGACATATCGGCCTCCTTTATCTGCCACAATGCCTTCGTCGATTTCCCCGCCTCCACCTGATAACCCTGTGCATCCTCTTCCCCTCCCAATTCCGGCTCCTACGCGCAGTGGTCATCGTGTTCGTTTCCCTGATCGTTACCAACATGCATATTATGTCTGCCACTTGCGTAGTTCACACCCATCTTGAACATTCGAACTCTGTTCTCCTGCTAGGGGAAGTAATGTAGTGACATGAAAAAGCGTTCTATTTTAGCACGCCAAAAATGACCTGTAAAAAACTTTAGCACAACTTTCAGCGGCAGGTTACTGTCACGCAGCATTCTTGCGGGTGCTTTTTTCTAATTCTACTCGTGATAGGCTGGTTTAATTCTTACAGCCCCTGATTTTCGCGGAAATCAAAGTCGTTTTGCATTTCAACCAAAGGCTGGCAATGGAGTAGTCAAAACTGCGAAAATTATTCACGTAAAGGACGTAGGAACTCTGACTTACTTACGCGTCCTATCGATTTTCTAAAGGAATTTGCTCAAGAAACGTGTTTTCTCTCTTTCAGAGTCCATCACTTAAGTATCGTAAGCAGACGAACCATCTGATTGCGGCCTCTTGACTGAAAAAAGGATTCATCGACTTTTGATACATGTGCAATTCCCCTAAAACTACTTTTAATGTAAAATGATTAGGTCGGTTTAGCTGCAATTTTTAAATTTATGGCGGTCCTTAAGGTTTTGACATTGAAGAGTTCATTTTGCATTCAAAGTGCGACTTAATAACAAATTCCAGCAGTTTGCCTTATGTAGCAACTCGATAAATCCTCAGTTTATCTCTAGATAATTTCTCGGGAATATGAATCCTAGGGTATATCGCATAATTTGGTCTAATAATGGCTCAACTCCCTTTTCTGTAGACACCCTTAGCTTGCGAATCGCAGTTGTAGAAAGCAGTCTCATTGTCTCAGAAATTTTCACGTTTAAAAGTTTGGGAAAACGCCTTTTAAGAGAGATGGGTTTTGGCAAGACCTTAATACAACCGATTGTAGGTAATAGATGAAAAAACTGAAGAAACGGGTTACAGTTTGCAAAACAGTTTGCTTTGGACTAAGGCTAAATACATGCGGACCAAAAAAAAGTCCGGGTCTGAAAGCGTGTTGTACGGACGTTTCTGCATTTACGATGCAGACGGAGGGTAAAAAGTATGACTTTCGTTAACATTGTCACGGATACCACAAGTTATATATCATTTGTTTCCATATAGTGCATTTCTGCGTGCAAATCTTAAATGAGGAATACCAGGCATCAATGCGGAAGTATTATAAATAGAAACCAGCCCAATATGTTGCTTAATGATGAGTTGGGTGACCCCTAAAACTACGGCACTCCTCGTTTTAAAAGGTGCAAACTCTAAAACCTGCGTTCTACACAAAATGTGGGAACTCGAAACATTAACTGCAATGTTGCGTACCCGTTCAGCTGTTGCCACAGAAAAGCTATTGGCCAGAATAGAGCTGCTGCTGTTTCCCTATTAACCAAACGATAATCGACAATTTCCCATGAAGTTGGGCACCCAGACGTGGTTGAAGTTTATCTGACATCCTTTTCTGAAGGCGGATGCACATCACACTCGAAGCTTTTACACTCGACGACATAGGTGCGGTAAAATTTAAGGCAAGGACATTTATTTTAGAACTCGCCTTCTCAGCCTACCACAATGAATATCACCTGATTAAGTTGTGGCTAACCTATATTTGACAGTCCCTGTGAAGTATTAAATGATACTGCGTTTAGGTGTTCTTTTAGCAACGTTTAAAGTTATTGTAGTGAGACTTCGTAAACACATTTTCGAAGCGAAAATTGCGAAATCAGACTAAAAGCGACGCATGTTTATACTCACACCCGTAAATTACCTTGAAACGAATGACTGGCTTTTGTTTAAACAATCTGACGAACTATACCAGAGAAGAAACACCCAACAAAACGTAAGTTTATTATAAAGCAAAGGGACCTGATCACAGTGAACTGATTTCTTCAGTCAGAAAATTTTTCGTTTTCGGTGGCCCCTGTGATGATTCACGTTTGATCTTGGAGGCGCCAAAAGTGATTAAATCTGGTTCATTAAAACCGCTGTGTGGGCCTAGCATCTTTGCCGCAGATTTTCGTCTTTATGAAGAGGAATCAGCACAAATCATAAAATACACACATGCATCACGCTAAACACCTACGGTCTAAGGGAACGGAATTCTCTCAGTAATGAATGTTTTGCCCCTAGGAAGTAGATGGCAAAAACGAATTGGAATTACCATAAATTGACGTGATTAAATCAACAATCTAAAAAAACATGACAATGAATTAATAGCTGTGGTGTCCACAGACAAAAGGCACTTATTGGAGTAGAAATAGAGTTACTTGAACATTGCCTCCTATAAGTCCGGCAGATTATATCATATAACCATAAGTAATGCGGCAAAATGCATGATAATATATGCGATAGAATAAAGGTTGACAATATTTATTGCATAACTTTCGTCTGTAGTATCATGCCCATCTATTTGCTTTAGTCTAATGTGAAAACTTCCTTTCTCTTCTGCATAAGACAGCTTTCTTATTTCTTATTAAATTACTTTGACTGAAGGCAAGTGTATGAATATCACCGTAATACAGTTGGCTTTGCGATAAATCCTAGGGGTAGCTATTTCTATGGCCTAACTTGGACTCTAATTCCAACACAAATCCCGAAATCACCCCTTGTAACATTTGCACTAACCCTTAGCTAACCCTTCACGAATTTCGCGCAATGCGCCTGTAATACGAAGGATACTTATTTCTCTGTTCTGCCAGCGTTTTTACTTACACACATAAAATAGTTCGTTAGTATTGTCGAATATGCCTGAACTATTTTCGGAGTACAGACTCCCCAACCTTGTTTAACGATCAGTCGGCGTGGTTATGCTCGACCTCCAATGAGTGAATATTTGTGCTGTTTTGCGGAAGCCTGCAAACCAAATAAACATATTACTTTAAGCGGCATTACTTTGCTACCCGGACGTCGTCTTCGCCTTCGTCGATTGTCAGAAAAGAAGCATTATGCCTTAACCAAGCATTGCAAATCACAAACACGTAAAGGGCAGGTGGTTTTGAGCTGTTCATGATGCGTCATATGCAGAGAATGAAATTTTATCCCCACGAATACCTCAAGCGTTTTATGCATGTTCAAAAATCGCGGACTCACAACTTGAGGAAATAAACTTTATACCTCTTGAGACAAAATTTTCACATGTTCTATAGAGAAGATTTGATACCCTTGTCCACTAATCTGTTTGAACTTTTTGTAAGTGCTTTCGATGCTTGTCTTGCCTGACCGTCAAAATCTGACATTTTGCCAGGACAGAATACTATTTCGAGATAACTGCAGCCGTAACCGGTTGTAATCACCCTAACTATCAGAAACGTTTTCCAGGCGCGTTCACGGTAGCGTGAGACGTGGGTAAGAAATAGTCGACGTTCAAATACTCACGCCAACACCTATTTCGGCGAAGGAGAAGAACACGTTTGTGGTTAAGAATATCCGTAGACAGCAACAGTAATTTCCTGGAACGGACAATTCTATATTAACAGAGAGATTGAAAGGCTATGCCGCAGTATATATTTGCATGCCCTTTTATGCAAAAGTATCAAACCTGTAAGGTCTCTGCAAAACTTGATACGTCTGTCGCTTGCCCTGTTTTTAAGATGCTGCTACTATTTGTCATGCACAACGTAGGGTCTTCTAATAAGAAAAACACGGAGCATTAAGTTATGTCTTTTGTACCGTTCTGTGATCTTTGACGATTTGGGCGCATTACTGAATATAGATATATAATCTACACGTATATAATCTAACGTAAGAATACGGATAGGATATTGAATGACCTTACCCTCTTCATGCGTCTTAGATTACTTCCCCAGATAATATAATGTCACTGGTATGGTGTCTACACTGCTCTGTAACGTCGCAGGGGAAGTTTTTCAGCAGATAGAAAGAAAATCACGTTAACTTTAGTGTTTGGGAGAAATGCACATCCTTCAATTAGAAGACCACCCATAAAGTTGGCCTATGCGTCATGCTAGTAAAATAAGATTTCTGACAAATACGTTTGACTACCACAGTCGGCAACTAAATCAAAGTTTTTGTTTTAGCTCTATAGAATTTCGGGCTTAATTATAATTAACCGATCAGTATATATTCGGGTACTTTTTTGCCCTTCTTTCGAAAATCCCTATCATGAGTAATACGTTCATCTTCTGGCCGTGAGATGCTCCTTCCAGAAAGAGCAAAACAGGTAATAGTCTATATGCGTTAACTGTCGCGCACAAAAGTGTTTGATGGTGGAGTCGTTAAATTAGACCAAATTTTGTAAGACAGCGCTTGCTTTTACATTAAAATTAATGAAATGTGATTGCAAGGTTTATCAACCTGCCCCTATGTTTACATTTTACTGTCCACTAGAAGCGTTAGAAATAGGAAGTAAGTCATATAAATAGCCAGATAAGCCCAGACCATTACGCAGGGAACGAGAGGCTGCTCTGATCGTTTTTCGCATTAGAATCCCTTTTTGCTCCGTCCCTAACAGAACGAATGTACAGCTGTAGATTCTGACTAGCTATGTGAAAACTGCTGTACTAAACTATTTTCGCAGTATTTAGCATATTGCTCAATTTAGCTCACTTAAAATCAAGAGGAATTCCTGCGCTAATCTATTTTCAAGAAAATAGTGAAGCGATGAAACTCACAGACACTATAGAAAGGACAAATTAGTATCTTGAGAGTGACCCAATATGGAAGTTGGTGAATGATGTAATTAGACTACAGTGTGGCTTAAAGTTCTCCTAACCATTTCGGCATGCTTCTCATTTACCTATGCTTTTCGCAGTATATCCTTTGCTTAAAGAACCGAATATTGCACTCGTATTTTGACAACAATTATTGCAGACATGCCTTTGTTTACTACGTCAATAATTTTACGTCAAGCAACATCTCCCATAACAGATAAATTGGTGAGAAAATGCAGGAATAAAGCAAAATACACCAAAAGAAACCAAAGGTAAAACTCTCTTGCAAAACTAAATTTTACAAATGATTTCCATTATAATATGCGCAGTGGCATGATTCCACTTGGTAATCAAATAAAATTTAATAAGTGAAAATAGAACGCACGTTGTTTTCAGCAAAATATCTGGCATATCTACTGCCGCTGAACAGAATTATTAGCTGTTTGCCTGTTTCCAATTAATACATCTTCGGCAACGTTAGAAATCTCCCTAAGCTTTAAGAATAAGGCATTCAAGCACATGACAAATATTTTTGCCGCATCTTGCCGTCTCAGCCCTTCTCTTTGGCGCACGAATTTAAATGCAAATGCCGTGTGCGCCGAGAAGCTTGACATAATTTCCAGGGTGTCCCTTTGCTCTGCGCTGATTGCCTATTTACATATTGCAATGAGCACTGGAAACGGATGAATCAACACATTTTAAATCTTCCATCGAATACAATTCCCAAACCTCTCTTAGATTGTTTGTTCATCTCACATCAAATGTTGCAAATTACTAAATCAGATGGCCAAAGGAAAATTTACTGTGAATCTGCAACTGGTTTTCAGAAGAGCTGATCAACTATGAACTTCTACAGAATATTTGGATTTGCGTCTCAGATTGATTTTCGAATTCGGCAATCAAAATGAATATGCTATTTGCACCGACCTCAGGAAATGTCAACTGGAATTCTGAGTTGAATTTTCAATTACAAAGGATTATATAAGTGGAATTGTAATAATAATCATTGTGGAGCATAAACCCAGGGTACTGCAAACGCTCCTGGATACTGACCCTTGATTGCACTTCTTTTTAGCCGTCTACAGAAACCGTGCTCGGAAAATATCACTCCCTTAATAATGTAAAGTCCTCATTTGTTTTCTTCGGCCTCGTAAATTTAAATATATTTTATGAAAAACATTCATAAAAATATTTCGTCTTCCTAGAAATTGGCAGAAATTCACTTTTTTCGAAATTTACAACTCGTGTGAAGCGAGTATTTAGGTTTTAAAACATTTTTAATGTTCAGATAGTTTCGAGTCCTATCTATCTTCTTACTTGCGCTAAGGCTTTCAGACCATAAGATGTAAACTTTCTGTGTAGGAAAGTCCGTACATGCCTCTAGGCCACAAGAACATGAAACATGCAGTCCATTAAGTTTTGCAATTGATGTTCTATGTGTTACAATTGTATGATAGCACCAATAAACAGATAGATGCAATGATGTTTGAATGGACACCGTCCGGTCTTAAAAAAATTTATAATTTATCTTTAAAAGACAAAAATTATCTTTTAAGAATATCACCTCTAGTCAAAAAGCAGGTTTCTACCAAACATATAAAAACATTTCAGGATTTTGGCCATGATTTCAGGAGATCGATCAGTACCTCTACATATGTTAGATCCAAACGTTAAATATCATCTAATGAAGATCTTTATAATCGTAGCACCAAAGTTAAATAGTCTGGTCTGAAAAATTTTCAACCAATCAGATGCGCAAAAAGCCTAATTTGAAACTGTGGCTTTTGTTACAATGAGTAACTTGTGGAAATTGTAAAATGAAGCAAACCTGCCTGATTTTGCAATATATGGAGTCTAGTAATGTGCCAGATAAAGATCTTAGTTAGCTTTTCAGTGTTAAAAAGTTTTTGTGGCCTACTTGCGTCCGTAGCTGCCGAAAATGTGAACGTGCACCAGATTAGATGAAGTTACTATGCTCGTAAATATGGGAAGGGTTCCCAAGTCCGCGCTAGTGTGCAAACATACGGCCGAGCTGCTATATTAAGCCTATGTTTGCATGCACTAATGACTAATGTCGAGATGTCCAAATACGTCCTCGTAAGCATGACTAAAGGACATTCTCCAAGAATGAATGCGGTGTCCTGCAATAAGAAAGTCCTCGTATATTTTGTTATCAGTTTTGTATCAGTGTTTCGAAGCCACACTAGTTACCTGGATGGTATATAGATGGGTTGCGCAAATTGTGTTGTTTTATTTCGAGACGCACGAGGTCTCGACATAACCGCACGTACAGCGTGATATGAATCAGCATTTTGGCATTTTGTTCTGGGATATAAAATATTTGAATATTTGCCGAATTTAATGTGTACCAGACAGAATGCTAGTCTTTTCAAAACATAATCCGATGTCTACTAATTTCTGACACAATTTATTCTATTCTCAAAAATAAACTTTGAAATTTATATCAGACTACATTTGGAACAAACAAAATATCAACATGACAAACATGAACTAAGGAAATAACGAATTGCATACAACCGATGAAACGTCGGGCTCCTTTTCAGAATACATTACAATCTAACTTTGCATCTTCAGGTTCATTTTCCAAAGGTCAGGGACTTATACTTCGTCAACGCTTCCAAACGTTGTATGTTTGTGCAATAAACTGTGATGCCACGAGTTAAATAAAACAGTGCTTTGCATCTCTTGTTGTTTGCAAAGGAGAATTTCTGTCCCCAGTGCTTCAACCAGTTGTGCAATTTGTAGCTGAACCCGGAACAATTTGTCACAATTGTTGATATTTGCAAATTTTTCATACTATTGTAAGGACATAGGTAATTTTGGAAATAGCAAATGATTGTATAATCTGATCGGATCTCGGTACACAAATTTGGCGCTATTTGCATGGCTAAAGTTGAAATCCGACGACAAAAATCACTAGATACACCAAAAACCTATTCCACTAGTGAAGTGAAAACGCAATCAAGGACAATTCAAAGGCACAAATCAAAAACCTATTTAAAAAAAATATACAAGTTCCCTTTGGTCTACCTGCAACTGGGTAAAAATAAAAGGGTGTTGAAAACACCCTTTGGAAACATGCTTTTTGATTGAAAGACGGAAAGGGGCGCAGACTGTCAAGGAAGAAATAATCTTGGTAAAATATACTACGCTTGAATAAAGTTTGCTTTGGTCTGCAAATGGTGTTTATCGATCACACAAAAATTCCCACTAGTATTTGCCTATAAAATTGCTGCACCTTTATGTAAATTTCGAACAACTAGCGAATGTGTTTAATCCAAATATGGTTCACTAAATAAACATAATACAGGTCTTATCGGAAGGTTAAATGTCCGTTCAAAATCATGAGGAAATTTGTGCCTACTTCAACTGAAATCATTTTTTGGCAAAGCAACGTTATATATGAACATGTTATTTTTTAGGATATATACATACCAACGTTGAACAGAATTTGAGTTGACGACAAATGTGCCAGTTAAAAACCCTGTTTGAAAAAAAGCCCTATACTACTCAAGTAATAAATTACCTATTCGAGACAAACTTTTTCCAAGTGAATCGGGAAAAGGTGCTCTGGGCGAATGCGAAAAATACATTTAAATCGAATCGTCCTCGGCAGCAAAATGAAAATGACATTTGAGTATAGCTTGCAAACATATCATCGACAGAAAAAGTCAGATAAACCGAAAATAGAACTTAGTGACGCATTTTTATCTGGTGTAGGAAAGCATTGCAAACTGGCTCCTTAAGTTCTGTTTTCATGGATAAAACTATAAACAAGAAATTATTGGAGATTTAGTTATTCTCTCTCATGCCAAGGCTAATAAAGCTGCGATTTCTACTCACGCTGCAATGAGGCAGTTACAATACCGAAGAGCCATGAATGCGGACATGCAGATACGTCAAATAATGCAATTGCGTAAAGAAGATCACGCATAAGTTTTACAGCTTAAGAGATGAAGTTAACTGAAAGCTCTTGGGGTTCTCGAGCTCAAAATTCAAAGAGGCCTAGTTGCCTACAAGAAAGTGCAATGGAATGTGAAAGTAGTGAAGACAAACCGCTTAGATAGTGGAGCGGCTTAACTGTGCCGAAAAATGTAGCAGGTGTTGGGACTGACAAGAAAGAGAAAATAAGACCAAACGATCAGTAGACATATTCCCTGAACCTGTTGCTTCCGTCAAGTGCTGGGTACAGTAGAAAAGTATGTTTTGACTACGAAGCGCACCAATGGCGTTGCTGCTCAATAAGAGGGGCTTTTGGCTAAACCTTAGCACAACTTAATATTAAGATAATTTATGCGATCACAACTATTACCTGCAAGGGCTACTTAGATGAGAACGTACACAGATTGTCTTCAAGTTAACGTCAGCGCTCTCAGCCCTTACGATACTGGACAACAAATCTGTGCCACTATATGCACTAGGACGAATGTCCCTAGTCGCAAGCGCAAAACGCTTTGTACCGCCCCCCCCACCAAAATGACTGCAACGTCTGATTTCAGCTTGCAGTTAAGCAGTACTTGTCATCTTAATTAATACTTGGCTATGGTAGCTGGTCCGCCTGATGCGTTTAAGGAACAGTTGGATAGCAGCATGGCCACTCTGCGACAAAAGATGACGAAGATGTCAATGGCTTTTTTCGCTTGATGCGCAAGAACGTTCATTAAGTCACGTACACGCATGAAAAACATTTCTTTATTCGCTGCTCAATTTTACCATGAAAGATATCGACGGCATCAGCGTTAATCTGTGAAATAGTGAAGCGGATTTGAAGCAAAAACGCATGTTATGCGATTTCGCGATTACGTTTTGCAGTTGTCGGTTATTCTGGTTGATTCCAACGAGCACGTATGCCTGACTGCAGGCACTGCGCAAGGCGCCTAAGCAGAAAATGCATCCGCCAGAAAGCAGTCAATTTGCTTAGTGCCCTTAAGGTCCACCTTAATCCATTAGCTGCAGAACTGAGGACATGCATGCGTATGACATCTCATATTACGGGGGACTGAAATGCAGCAGTGAGTTTTCGCATTTCGTAAAGGGTTTTAGTATTTGCGACTTCATCCACGTTAACGGTTTTGTGCAAATTTGGGGAATTTTCTGACTTGCCGCGGTATTCACCATTTTTCCAATCTTTAAGTTCTCTCTCTCTCTACCCCACCGCGTTTACCTTTTACTTGCTGTCGCTTAATTTGGAAACATGTCCTTTATTTCCTTCGCGTTATTCACATAAATCGGTGAATTTCGACATGCGGAATAGTTTTTTTAGATCCAATTGTTGTCGGCCGCAAATGTGGTCAAGGAGCCATTTATGCAACTGACTGATTGGATGCATCCCTCCTGGGACAGTAATCGACATCGATACAATCAGCATTTTTTCTTTCTGGAATGAATTTGGCAAATATGCCAAGTGGCGTCTTTGTAAGTCCCCACAGAAAAGATGAACCTAGACACACTATTGTCAACAGCAACGCGCAATATGTGGCAAGTTCCACAGAACACTGACCAAATTATTTTGTAGGCTGTCCATCCTCAAAAGATATTTTGTTGATTTTTATGTCAAAAGTTTCTTCGTGTCTCTAGCTGTCTAGCCTATGACGCTTTCTTTTTTCTGACTGGTTTTTAAGGCCGACTTTTAGACGGAGTCTGAAGTGATGTCTATTCTTCTTTTAAATCGGCTCTGCTGATCTGTCCTCCGTGTCGCTAATGCCGAGTTTTTTACATTCAAGGAACTTGTGAACTTTTTTCTTGTTTTGCTCTTTTATTCATTTCTAACATTTACATGATCGTGATAAGTTAAATTAGCCTAAAGCTTTGGTTTTTTAATGAACGTAATTAAGTTCAAGCCTTTTCTGTTAGGTTTACTACGTAATAACTTTTGGTAGATTCCTATAAATACATTGATGCCTACATAACAATATTGCCAAAGGTAATGGATGAAACACCCTTTTTCAGACTTCTGCTGACTTACGAATTCTGTCTAAAGTTTATTCAGCACTTTTAAAAGTTTTGGCATCAGACTGCCTAAATAATTTTCAGGGACAGTAATTAATTGTCCTTTAATTTAACCAGAAAGAGACTTATAACCTATCACTTCTTGTACTCAACCGCAATCTACTTCCTGTTTCTTTACATTTGTTGACTTACAACTCTCAAGCAAGTGCATGTCTCGTATATTAGTGAGGCCTCTGCGAATGACCTTGTGATTTAACTCGACAGTACTTAGTAATGTAAAATTATTACAATGTTAGAATTGAGGAATCGCACGGTCAGCCACTATTAATGAACTCTTTTAGCAAGAGGATGGGAATGGGGGCCCTTTCTTTTTTGACTCATTTTTATTATACTTCAGTCAAAAGACACCTCGAGCTTTTAATATTGACCTGAATGCGCGGACACATTTGAACTTAGCACAAACTTAATTTTTAAGGACGCTGTTGAAAGTTTCAATCCTTTTGGCTTGGGCGCCGTTCTCAGAGGTGACGACAATACGAAGACATAAACCGTTTTACTTGGGCAGTGACTCAGTATGCACGTCTTGTCAAAGGAATTGTCATCGAAGTAAATGTATAGTGTCTTACTTTTGAGTCATCCTATCTCGAGAGGGATTGCGTAAACTAGCGACAAAAAATCAGCTCCAGTTTACAGTAACATTGTGATTTAAATTTGCCATGGTTATTCGGGAAAAAGAAGCGCTCAACAATAGGCATGTTTATGCAAATATTTTCGCCCATTATTTGATCCAACCTATTGGGAATTCCAAGTATTAAAGCAACAATATTTATCTTAAAAGGGATGTGTGCAGTGAATCAATAGATACCTGAATCCGGCTATCCGCAAACACCCTCTTGTTAGTCTTTTAGCGTTAACGTCTTACTTTAAAACTTTTACAAGTTCGAGTAAACTAATCGTATTGGATTTAAACACATAAGAGGTATTTTATCTGTGAGTATAAAATGTCTGGCACGATTGATTAAAGCTTAGGTCAGCCTACACCAACTGACTGCCAACTTGACGTTTCGACCGTGAACTGACAAGCTCAAATACCTTCGAGTCGGCCAAGTTAAGAAAGCTTTATTCACACCAGATAGACCTTAACACTGTACTCTCGCAAATTGCATATTAATCTGACTAATGCACATCGAAGTTCATTGAAGTTTCCTTAATCGCCACGAATGAAGCTACGTATCCCAGCGTTCATAGTGACTTTTTCTTTAACAATTTCGACCACTGAAGCAAAACATGGGTGCCAAAGGTAGCAGCGAAAGCTCCAATTTTAATTGCAGTTTAATTCATCCATTGGCACGTCTAAGACACGGAAACGGATACTTTAGTCCTGACAGAATCTTGGACTTCACGGAAAGGTAAGAAAATCGGGTTTTTCTTAAGACTCTCTTTTTAAAGATGCACTACAAATGACTTAACCAAAGCAGCATAAAAACATAAATAATTGGCACAGCAGCGGCCAAACAGGCCGAAATATATACGACATAATTCGACAAGTCGTTGCACTACGAACGGGCGTCTTCAAATTTAAGTGACTCTCTGGACCGATCTCAACTCGAATGACGTTTAGCGCCATGATGTTTGTAAATGATCTATCCTTTTATGCATTCGAATGCGTTATTTTTTCGGAAAAGTTAAGATCAGGCTGGGTGTGCACATTTTGCGACATAATTCACTCCGCCGGATATCTATTTTTCAAGTTCTGCAGTGACTCAGCTGCGCTCAAAGCAGACCTGGGCTTGCTGATCGGCCTCTCCGCTGCAAACTTTGACAGTTTGAAACAACTAGAGCGCCATTCAAAAACTGCTTGACAACAACAGAGTTGCAGTATGAAGCTCTCCAATCAGCTATACTTCGGGTAGGCTCCGGTCACCGGCAGGCATGCACAAGCGCTGGAACAGTGTGCGAACCTGATAGGTTTGATAAATCACCCGTTATTTTGCTTTTTTAAGAAGTGATAAAAATCTATTCACACAGCACAGCAGTCTGACAATTCGCATTCCCAATGTTTTAGATAGAACTGTCAACTCCACTTGCGCAGGGCTGAAGTTTGGACAAAAAGCTGCATACAGTCTGTGATTTTAATGGTCACTGGAAAAAACAAAACTTTATCAAGCCGAAAGGTCAGTTCAGCCCTCTAAATGCGCGACCGTAGCCATGTTTAATATCAAACGGTCAAGTCCGCATCAAACCCATGGTGTGCTTTAAATTGTTCAGTTTTACATACGCGTGCTTATACATTTGTCTTTATTGCGAAAAGTAAACGGAGCGGCAGGATGCAAAAGCCAACTTCTGAAACCCCAGAACCAGCACGGTTTCCAGTCACAGGTTTTGAAAATCGCAGTATGAAAATTGGGATTTTGGCTTCGAGACTTAGGGGAACTGACATTAAACAGAAACAAGCTTCGCACGGATGCTCAGATGCCGTTACAATTCATTTTAGGCTGTCTTACAATTATATTTTATTTTTGTAAATAATGGAATATTTTCAAATGCTTCAAACTTAGCATATTGAACGCCTTGAAGACGTTATTGTCAATTAAAGGAAAATATGATCAGACACTGCTGGCTTTTTTAAAGTAATCAGTGTGATTTCGGCAAACGATGACAAGACGATCAGAATATTTCTATGCGGCGTCTGTATATCTTCCAGCATTGACTATTGTTATTTACCGTTGAGAATTTAGCATGGACTCAAGAAATAAACTCGAAGACTAAACAAATGCGCATCGTACCCCGTTCTAAAAATCAGTACTTTCAGAAGACGTCTCTTTTAGGCCAAAATAATGAAAAATGTATCCGTTTCCCTGTCAGGTATACAGACAAGTCATTTGATCTGAGCATTCAACTGCAGCGTGAGAAAGGTATGTGAATTGGTAAGTATAATAATAGTAAAATGTCATTTAAGAAAAGAGATTAGTCTATCAAGATGAGCTATAAACCTGTGATTGCTTGACGTTTTCCATAGTAAGAATTAGTTTTTTTTAGATATAACGGATGCTGCTTCGACGAGACGGGTCCGGACCAGTAACCTCAAGTAATCACCCAGTATGCTGCATCTAATTCGTTCCAAGAGACACGATATTAATTGCGTAAATTGTCTGAGTTCATATTTTTTGCTGGATAAGTTCACATTTTAGTATTCTGCCAGAATGACCTATTCCTATTTATTGGACAAAACAACCTTTTCCAAACTGTGGACTCATTATGTTGGGCTGTAATTTCTTCTTTAAAACTGAAGCATTTTGCTGAACTCATCCCGCAGACTAAAAAGAAAATATCGAATAATGATAGAATTGTGTGTGTGTTTCTAGCGGCTTGGTAAATGTATCATCTAGTTAAAGTTTGGATAGTTGTTGAGCCGCATATCCAACACGATGGAGGCTTTGATGACTGAGGGCATTACAAATTTCCTATCGCTCTGTGCGGCTTTGGGCAATAAGCTTAGATAAAAACAACATGCGAAATGGCGCGATTTCGTACGCTAAATATTTGCAATGCTTAGCTGCCGCTGGATTTTAACCGGCGTTTCTGGCAGTGAGCCGTGTCGCCAAGTTGAGGGACGTTCACATGCAGTGTACGTTGGGAAAAAAGTTTGGATGATATCGCGCGCACGCAAAATTACAGTGAACCCTGTGAATAAACTAAGGTATCGAAGCCGAATAAACAACGAATGGTCGTCGTCTAAATGCTAAAACAACTTGGCCATGACTAACAAAATAATGCAGATATGAGTGTCAGAGCATTATGTTCTGAGATGTAACTCGCAAATAACTGCTCGGGTAATCTTAAATTAAATGTCAACTTCTACGACACCTCTTGGGCTAGGCAATCTCGTTTACACTTGTCCCAGCTGACTATGCTTTTGAACCAAAAATGCTAGGTTACCTCTTACCGTTGACATCTGATCTGATATTTATTGCAGACCTCAATGACCCACATGAACCTTTGTAGATTAATATCATGCAGTAGAATAACTACCTTTGGATGATAAGAATTCCCTCCTCCAAAATACTCCGCGTCATGCTTTAATTTTTTGAAATAAACGTGATTATTGTGATGAAAAAAAAGATTTGCACAGAACCTACAGGCAAATCCTAGCTCACAAGTTTTGAACTGCATACCGCTGACTGACATAAAAGTGCTACATTCCCGGCTGAACGATAAGGGCAAAAATAAAGAACGTGCACTTGGTAAGTCAACCTTGGTTGCCGGCCTGTGAAGTCGTCTGAAAGGCCCAATGTCAGGCTCTCCAGGAAAGAGCATAAAATAAACTGGCCACGCAGTGTGTGTATTCCATTCACACGTACAGGCAGCAGAAATTAGGTAGCCTGCATCGCCTTCCTGCCACGTACGTGTAGATTTCCGATTGTAACTGGCAGGCCAGAAACATGCTGTTACGAGAACACAAGATCGGTCGTCTTGGTTGTAAAGTGGTATTGTACTCTATTAAACCTCACTTTTATGTACCGCAAAAGTTCTAAAGAATTTTAAGTCCTCCGTTGAGAACAGAAAACGGTGCTGTTGGCAAAAAGCAGCTAAATATGCATATTTTATTCCGCTGTCAGGACACAAATCAGGAAATATACAATGCTTATGATTTAGGTGACAATCTATACGGAGTAAATTCCTTCCCGAAGGTCGACGTTGCAGCTCCGTGACAAAACGAAGAATAAAGTAATGGGACGGTTATTTGGTTGTTAAACCAGTTCGGACCGAAGCGAGTTGCGGTAAATGTCTTCAAACGGCAAAGGGCGTACAGTGTACTAAAGAGCTATTCATAATCGCTTGTCTCCGGATCTATCCTTCATATGGCCGATGTGCCGTGAGTACGTTAGTACGAATTGGATGTCAATACATACACGCCTGCAAGAAAATTATGGCTTGAAGTTTCAAAAATCACCAAAAGTATACCTCCGTCGCTGACCTTAGAAGAGCTTCTGGTTTAACTGCTAGAATAAACTTTAAAGCGAGACGAGTCATGCCACTACATACATTAAAACAACAGCAGACATCACACGTGTCGTTGAGTCGAGTGCTATAGTTATATTAAATAAAACTTACTAAAGCTTACTGCACTTACGAGGATTACTCTTCTTAACGAGGAGGCCAGCCGTTCAGAAGAAATGGTATTCCATTTGTTTGAATATTTTTTATTAATTTTGATCTCGTCTGAATTATTCTAAATTTTCATTGAAAGCGCTACGCGAAAAGACTACTCTGTCATTTGTGTCATGATCGATTACTTGACAGAGTTTAGTTCAATATAATAAGGTCTTACGTCTTGCATATTTATCAGAACACTAATCAAATTAGCTAGACATTTCGAGTCCACACTCTAATCCACCAGCAGAGATGTATAAGGGATCGGTTAACTTGGTGCAGCACATGCTTACCGAACTGGCAGCAGCTGAATTCATTAACGAAGGCTCTACTTGGTGTAGGGGTTGCAGCATCATCGCTAATGGCCACAACTTCCCCTCCCGATGCATCTTATAGTCATGATGAACACTCTGCACTCTTAACTCACCGTCATCGTGTCCGGAAGCATTACATACATGTTTGCTTACCGCGTTATCCAATATTCAATCCAAGCAAGGGAGTGGCGTGGGAGCAGATAGAGGCATGTTATTTCACTTTCAGATGGATTATTAGTCCGGAAAGCATGGCCAATCAGCTAATGGCGCTCGCAGCTGTCACCTTCCGCAAAGCATTCTTTCTCATCAAACTTGGAGCTGTCGCCAGAGTTGGCTGCACTCTGCCCTACTGCTCATGTTCGCTCGGCCATTCGCGCCGCAGTGGTCGACAGATTATTTTGTTTATTGTCCTGAGCTTTTGAACTCGTGCAGGAGTCCATCGTCAGAGATAGTGGCAGCAACAGAACAAGCGACAGTTATGGGGCATGCAGGCCAATCATCGGCCCTGCGGCGCAAGATTGGAGTTGACTGCGCAGGGCTCTATACGCCGGCCCCAGATCGATAAATCGACTGACTGAGTTCTCATCCGAGACCCAGACTTTAATCAATTCTGGGCTTGTTCATTTCCAGCGTGGGCGACTATTTTGGTGGTTGCGAAATTAAACTCATGACCCATTTCATAGGTGTGGGTGACCACTTGTGATAATGTGTCGCCTCGTCGCACAACCAGCTTACGTTCGTGAATGCGTGATCCGAGCATGCACCCCGTCTGCCCTGGGCAGTTACAAGGACAATTTTGACACGGAATGTGATACACTACTCCAGATTGCGCTTTAGGCTTTAACCGGTCTTTAGTTTTCATGACTCCCTGGCGGCTAGCCATCATGACTGCGTCCAATCATGCCTGGGACTCCCTGAAATAGTGGTGGCAGCCGCTTTTGTGGGCTCGTGGGCCAAGCCCAAGTGGTGTCCAGTCAGTGTGTGTTGTTTGCATTTGCCAAGGGGTGGTGTCCCAGTGGCTTGTTATGCTGTTTACAGAGCGTGGCGCGTTCAAGTGGCGCATGCGTAGCAGCGACGCTTTGTGGACGCAATTGTGCCCGAGCTGAAGTCAGTCGAGTGGCTTCAGGTCAGCTCGTTTGGAACGGCTCGCTGCAAGGAGTGAATGACCTTGAGGCAGCGAGGTCTTTAACAATGACACCGGACCAGTCATGATGGTTAGCCGCCACAACTCTATTGCGCATGGTGGCTTTGGGACGGTGTGTAATTCCAACTTCTAGCTCCACAGCAATGCCTTCGGTCGTATCTGAAACGTCCTAAATGTATGACTGCGACTAATATATCGTTAGCGGTGTTGATTTTTGAGTCCTCTGGGGGCGACCGTGTAAGCAGCGACTTATGAATGCCCCCGGATAGCCATTTTTCACAAACCGGTCGCGGAGATAACGAACCTCACATGACCGTTCCTCCGTTTTGCCGCAGTGAGTTTGAATCCGTTCGAAGAGCGTCTTCATACAGCTTCGTACGTGAGCCACCGGATGGTTGTTGTGAAAACGGAGAAGCCGTGTGGTGTTCGTCGCCTTCCCATAAATTGTCGGTTAAAATTCGCTGTTAAGGTTTCGTCTGACAAGCACATCCAGGAAGGGCCTCTCTTTTTTCTGTTCTTCTTTCCTCGTGACTTTTCCATCAGGGAAGACTGCGTTGAGCAGGCTGTGGAAATGTTGCAGCCTGTCCTCCTTTACGATGTCGAAAGTCTCGTCAACGTAACGGCGTCAAAATACCGGCTCATGTTGAATGAAGGCAATCTTTTCTAACTCCTGTAGGACGAGTTCTGCGATTAAACCTGAGACCGTTGAGCCCATCGGGCTTCCCTTAATTTGTTCATAGGTTTCTCCCGCAAAGCGAAGAATGTTTGTTGACAGAATTCAAACAGCCTCATGAGGTCTTCAATTTTAAGTGCATTCTGGGTCTCTTCAAACGCCTCTTCAAGTCTCTTGCGTAAGACTTTGCGGGCCAAATTTGGTGAGGTAGATGCAAATAACGACGTCTCATCAAAGGAGACCATGATTTCGTCCGACTGAATCCTCCGATCTCGGAGGACCATGAAAAATTGAGAGGCTTTCTTAACTAGGGCAGTTGGATTGCCTTGCAGGAACTTCAGTTTTGAGTACATCCACTTTGCCAAATTGCAGCTGTATCAGCCTTTTAGGGTAGCGATTGGTCGCAGTGGGACATTTGCTTTATGGATTTTTTGTACACCATACAATCGAGCTAGAGTGGTGTCAGTTGCCTTCATTTGGTACCATACGTTCTCCGTGTTCACATTTTTATGTCGATACTCTCTTAGCAGTTTACTTGGTCGATATGCCACTGCTTTGGCTTGTGAGTTCCGTGCTGGTCTTTTCAATTAATCACGAAGTCTACAATCACAATAAACTAATTCATGCATAAGTTATTGTTCCTATTCTCACTTTGATGTGGATAAGACGGGAGACAGTTGATTTTCCCTTGCCAGCAGGTAGAATGATGATTCTATCGTCCCTCCTCAGTGCTCGCATAACCTTTGACTCACTCTGTGAATTACATTTGGTTGGTCTGTGTGCCATCAGCAAGGAGGTAACACGTTG